GTTCAGTTTCAACTTATTTTGGCGGAGTTAGGTAGAAAACAGTATTTTTCCTAAAACACGCAAATTGATTATGATCGAATTTTGAGGGACGTTTCTTCAAAATAAAGTTTTGGAAAACACGGCTTATTCCGATTTTTGACGTTTTAATGACGCTTTAAAGCGTCACCGGTCCCGAAAGGGTTAATTGTAGCTGGTGATCCTCTTCAACTATCGCCTGTTCGACAATGTACTTATCCACATTCTTTCGATGCACTCGCTTTCACTCAAATAAAAAGTGTCTCGAAAGTACTGACTTGGCCGGAAATGTCAGTTTTCAAAATCGATTTTCTCTTATGGCATAACACAAATTTTGAGGCATAAGTAGTTCCAACCTTGATCCATGAATAGATGAAAAACTTTCGGTGGGCAACGTTAAGCTGGCTGGAAGTCTCGAGTGCCCCCGAGCGTAGGTATCATGTAGAAATTATTAAATTTTTAGAACAGTATTTTGCATTTTTGTTTTGAAGAAAGTATTTTAAAGCGAAACCAAGCCCATATTCGTGATTAGCGTCAGAAACTGAATCGAATAATGTATCATTCAGTCCTTTTTCGACATATTGTTTCAGCAGAAAATTTCTACAAATTTTAATCATTGATGGAACTTCTGGATTTCTATATTGGACGTAAAATTGAGTCGCATCGGGAAAGTCGTTCCAGGGTTATGGAGAAAACAATTTTCAAAATATCAGTCTAAAGCGAGAAAATAATGTCATTTTCAAAACTTTCGTTGTCTTTGTCTGTACAAAAAGGGTTTAGGGGAAAAATTTTTGTTGTCAACTTCTTACATTTGGAGCGGCCTATCCACTGCCATGGGTTTCTTGTAACCAGCTATAACAAAGTTTGCAGTAGCAACACGTTTTGAGTCACTCTACACATTTTTCAAAAAAATGTCACTATATTTCTCAGTATATTGTAAATTTTTCCGAAACCGAACAAGACTGACGGTTCAAATTTTAACCATTGATAGAACTTCTGGATTTCTATATTCAGTGTAAAGTTCAGCCTCATCGGAAAAGTCGTTCCAGGGTTATGGAGACAACAATTTTCAAAACTTCACTCTACAAAGTGAGTCATAATCGCTAAATTTCCAAAAATTTAGTCTCCTTCCTCGAAACGAGAGAAGTTTTACAAGATCTTTTTTTGTGAGCTGGTTACTTGAACAGTTGTCTTCCTTTTCGTATTGTTTTTTTTGTCCTCAGTTTCAACAGTCTGCAATAGGAAGCATTTTGTGTCAGTCTACACAAAAATGGAAAAGTGTATGTCAAAGTTGGCGGAGTGATGTATGTTGGGCGGGTGGCCTCTGAAAATAAGGAAAAGAAATTAATTGAAGATATCGATCGCATGTCGATCGGTCTACAAATTGGTGTGTTAATTATCCTTCTTCTCTTCTCCATCTCGTCCGAAAAGTTCTTTTTTGAACGTATCTGACCAAAAAACGTTATTTTTTCGAAGTGTTTTTCGTAGTACTCGGTAACGACATGAGCTAGACAGGTGAATTTCTGCATGGTAGTGAGAGATACTTAGTAGAATAAAAATTGGAAAAAGCTTTTGTATTGATTGATCGGAAGAAACCTTGCGGACAAAATAGTGCTAAAATGTCAATCGTACAATAAAGTTGCAATTTACTCATATATTTGAAATCAGCGTACGAAACTATATCGAATGATACGGCATAACTTCTCGTTTAGATTCTTCTCGACATTATCAATCCAATACAATCGAATTCTCATTTAATTATTGATATTGCTCTGAACAACAATGAGAGGAACCGGTTCACATTTTAGAAAGGTAAGAATATTTTAGTGTATTATGTGAACATGTCAAACTGAATCTAATTTTGAATCGATTGCCTCTTGGATATGATGAAAAAAGGAAGTTATGCTAAAAGATCAATGAATTTGGCTACGAAGTCGCTTTTATTTAGAAGCGCGAAAGTCTTCTTCGTATAATTTGCATCTAGAAATCGAAAACAAGGATTTCTTTTCACGAGTAATGATCATGTTGATTTTTTTATAAAAAAATTCGATTAACGACCTTTTTATATTTATACAGCTATCTTAAATCTTGCATTAATGCTTCTGAAATAATTGTCTCATTTTTAATTACAATTCCAGAATGATAAATCAAAATTTATCGCCCCAACATACGATCCAGAAATGCCTGTAAGAGTACGACAGTTATTGGAGAAGGTGGGCGATGAACCCATTATTAAAATTCAACTCGGTCGTACACCCGTTCAAGATCTTCCTATTAAAATACTTGACTTTTTGAGCGATTCGAAATTTTCCGATAAACAACTTGAACTTGGTTATGATGAAATCTATCACAATTATTTACTCATTACTATCCAGAATAGCAATGGACCCAATGTACTACAACATATACTCGGAACTGTAGCACACAGTACAACTGCTAGCACTATTCTCAAACTTGAGAAAGCACACCGCATTGCTCTCACCTATCCGACGATACCCGATGAATTGCTCTCTGTGTACGATATTCCACTTACGCCAAATAAACCATTGACACTCAATCGATTAATTTCTACAGCGTCGAACGTTGACAAAAATTTTTACAATTATAATGCTGCCGAAAATAATATGTGCCAAACATTTGTCGAAAACATTGTTGATATCAATGATCTGACGCGTAATATTACTGACCAAGCAACACTGAATGCTCTCAAACCACAGGATGCCAAAGCATTGATTGCTACGCTCGGCAGTCGATCTAACATTGTCAAAGCTGCGACTGATTTGGGCGCCAAATTCGACAAACTAGTATTCGATCGGAAAATCAAATGGAAAAATTCGTCACCAAAAGAGTTGGATTTATTGCGCAATGGCGATATTGCAGATTCGGAAAGCACTGGTACCGTATACGAAGCGATTCTTCAGCTCGAACGAAATGGTAAGAAAAGAAAACACAACAACTCTATTATTATTTTGTTTTTTTGTAGCACGATTGGTACTCGTGGCTTACTCGTCGTCGCCACCGGAATCGTCAGAGGACACCAAATTGTAAAAAAGAAAAGATTTGTGTGAACTACATCTATTTTAATACAGAAAAGTTACTTTTCTAAGATTTTTACCTAGTAAAAATCTTAAACATTTCTTAAAGTTATCTTACTAAGGTCTTATAAGATCTTATCCTTAAGCTTTTGATAAGTTAATTTAAGATCTTATCGTTTAAGATCTTAATAAGATTTAATGACTCTACTTTCATTCACCCTTTTGGTTTGCTCTAATTCATCTATATAAGTAACACTGAAAATATGAGTGATTTTTCTTCCAGACTCTGCTAGTACTTACTTTCTTGAAAGTGTTCAACAAATTTTTAGAGAATGTACATGCAGGTGAAGGTCCGTAGTTGGACACCCGAAAATATGAAATTTGCTTCATTCTTCAACTGTTGCTTTGGATAATACGGATTAAAAGCTGAAAAATTTCCAGTGTATCTCTAATGAATATTATTTAAAAAACATCGCCGTTCTTACTATTAAGATCTTAACAGATACTTAACCAATCTTGAAAAAATCTTAGACAGTATAATCTTAATAAGATCTTAGAAAAATCTTATACAATCTTAGAATTTTCGGGTCTCACGATCTTAGTAAGATTTGAGTAAGTTTTTCACCAGGGTATGCTTTTCCGATTACTAGAATTATTTTCTAGAACGGGTCCCGAGATGATTAAAAGCTTTCGCGTCCATATTTCGATCAGTGGTGGAGGAGCACTAGACTATAACAATCTTCCAAGGGTTCGTACTCTTGCTGAGTTTTGATCGAGATATTCAATACTCCCTTGTGAGACCCAATTTTTAAATTAGTCGGTCCATGAGTCGGCCCATTTTGCTGAAAATTGATTCAACAAAAGCATTCGAACATGGAGTAGAAAACAAATAGGAAACGATTTTTGTCATGTTTGGTGTTGTATTGCCATTCATATTCAAAAGATAAGCCCATAGTTGATCACTTCGCACGTCCCCGTCGGCTGCTTGTTGATTTTTGTGAACCAAAGTTTCATCGTCGTGATCGATCATCATCGCCGATGTTTTTGAACCGTCCCGATGTTTATTTACAATATATGTATTCACAAGATCGCTCAGCTTCTCATTCTTTTGCTGATTACACTCGTACATAGCTTTCAGATCACAATATTCACTCAACAAGTGACAGGTGCCCATTGGGCATAGTCAAGGCCGTACGAAATGTTTCATAGTCTCTCTTGCAGTGTCACATTTCGATTGGAGCCTTTCGTCACTGTCAGTGCCGTGACATTATTAATCGATGCAAAAATTGCATCCAATCGGCCAACAGATTACGCTCAATTGCAGCTCAAAGTGCGTTCGTAGTCCGGCCGTAATCATAATGCAATCTAAGCGCAATCGATCACACGGGAACCTTTTATGCTCACATTCTCATTTTTTCCGTGAAACCAGATGCAAAGGGTCTTAATAGCGTTCGGCTTGCTATCGTCGATCGAATCACTGGAGCGCAAACGACATCCATTAATTTCATGACTCAGACATGGTTCTTTCCTTACAATAACATTTCCAAACAGTTGCAGACTTGTTTACTCATGACGAACTACATTACTTTCTACGAAAACTGACATCATAATGAATAATTTTACTTCCTACTAGAGAGAAGGGAGAAAACAATTGCACCGAAGGTGCGATGCATCCATCTCTCAAATAAAAGTGTCTCGAAAGTACCGACTTGGCTGAAAATGTCAGTTTTCAAAATCGATTTTCTCCTATGGCATAACACAAATTTTGAGGCATAAGTACAGGGTGCGTAAAAATGTTTTTCCAGGGGGGTAACGCTATAATTGCGAATAGGGTAAGTAATGAATTTTATACCAGATGAAAGCCC